AAAAACCACACACACGCAAAAAGCCACAAGAAAAGCCTGTTTTCTCTAGTCCAGGGACAAGGAAAGGTCAGCCAAGCAAGAGAGGAATTTTTTTTTTTGTTTTGGAGATAGAGCCTCACTCTGTTGCCCAGGATGGAGTGCCATAATGTGATTTTGGCTCACTGCAACCTCTGCCTCTTAAGTTCAAGCAATTCTCCTGCCTCAGCCTCCAGAGTAACTGGGATTACAGGCACGCACTGTACACCCAGCTAATTTTGTATTTTTAGTAGAGACTGAGTTTCACCATGTTGGCCAGGCTGGTCTCAAACTCCTGACCTGGTGATCCACCTGCCTCGGCCTCCCAAAGTGCTGGGATTACAGGTATGAGCCCACCGTGCCCGGTCAACAATACATTTCTGTTGTTTATAAATTATGCAATCAAAGGAATTTTAATACAGCAGCCAAACTAAGACCAGACTATGTAGGAATGTGGAAGTTATGGGTTTGTGTTCTTACATATTCAGGTAATTTAGTCTTTTTGGGGGATTCATTCTTTAGTTCTATCACCTTCAAGTTGGCTTTCTGATGTTTTAACCTAGACCTTTGAAGTTATTTCAATTGTGCTTTCATCCCCATCCACAAGTAAGCTATTTCAACTAGTTCCTTGAGGCATTGTGGAAAAACTGGTCTTTGTCAGAGTCCCTTGTTAATTTAAGTCCCTTATTAAAAGTTTCTCACTGAAGCCACCTGAATTCAAGTCGGCCTCATCCCTTGCTTGCACTGGTGGTTTTCAGTTCCAGCATGTCAGAATACCTGGGGAGCTTTTAAGGCATATCAGTGCCTGCACTCCATCCCAGATCAATTAACTCAGAATCTCCAGGGATATTATAATATTTTAAAAGCTCCTCTGGGATTCTAACTAGACTTCTTTTAGTTGAGAATCACTGGATTTCAAACACAAAATCCCCTTAATTAGCATCTCCTTTTTTCTGAGTACCTTAGATCTAATCAGTACCACTCTTTTTCCACATTCATTGTTTATTTTCCAGCTCTTTCTTTTTTGCCCTTTGGCAAATCACTTCCACTCACATGAGAAACAGAGTTTTCAGCCTGGGTAGATAATCCTGTTTTAGTCAATTCACAAAAGTAGTTTGAGTAATTTTGTTTATATGTTTTCATGTTTGAAACAGGGTCATTGGGGATTGCAGTGGTGCCATCAAAACTCACTGCAGCCTCAACCTCCTGGGCTCAAGTGATCCTCTTGCCTCAACCTCCTTAGTGGCTCAGGCTACAGGCATGTGCCACCACTCCTGGCTAATTTTTGAATTTTTTGTAGAGATAGGGTTTCACTATGTTGTGCAGGCTGGGCTCAAACTCCTGGGCTCAAGTGTTTCTCCCGCCTTGGCCTCCCAAAGTGTTAGGATTATAGGTGTCAGCCACTGTGCATGGTTTAATTTCGGTAAATTTTAATTTTTCCATATAACTTCTGAAATTTCCATGGCAAATCACTCTTGATAACTTATTAAAAAAATCTGATGATGTTTTTGAATGTACATCAGTTATTGTTATTTGAGGGGTTTTTTTCTTCTGTTTTTTTGTTTTTGTTTTTTTAGATGAAGTTTCGCACTGTCACCCAGGCTGGAGTGCCAAGGTGTGATCTCTGCTCACTGCAACCCCCGCCTCCTGGGTTCAAGCAATTCTCCTGCCCTAGCCTCCTACCACCACACCCAGCTAATGTTTTTGTTTTTGTTTTTTGAGACGGAGTTTCACTCATGTTACCCAGGCTAGAGTGCAATGGCGCGATCTCGGCTCACTGCAACCTCCGCCTCCTGGGTTCAGGCAATTCTCCTGCCTCAGCCTCCTGAGTAGCTGGGATTACAGGCACACACCACCATGCCCAGCTAATTTTTTGTATTTTTAGTAGAGACGGGGTTTCACTGTTTTTTTTATTTTTAGTAGAGATGAGGTTTCATTATGTTGGCCAGGTTGGTCTCTAACTCGTGGCCTCGTCATCCACCCACCTAGGCCTCCCAAAGTGCTTGGATTACAGGTGTGAACCACCTGACCCAGCCTTTTCTTCTGTTTTTAGCAATATTAAACTGAAAAAGAAACCACTTTGACTATGGCACACCTTCCTTAACATTCTAACTAAGCTGATTAAAATCAGATAATCCTTTGTAGGACAGAAATGTCAAACACATTTTAGAGGATTAAGAAAAGCTCTAGACCCAAAGTTTTCCATGGTGATGCCTGCTGATCCCCCTGGGGTTTAGAGCATGGATTATGGGCCCTGGGGGATAGGAATCTGGAGTTCCTAGCAGGGTGAGAGGTAAGATCTAAAATTCTCTGCATAGGCTGGGCATGATGGTTCACACCTGTAATCCCAGCACTTTGAGAGGCTGAGATGGGTGGGTCACTTGGGGTCAGGAGTTCTAGACCAGCCTGGCCAACATAGTGAAACGCCGTCTCTACCAAAAAATACAAAATGAGCTGGGCGTGGTGGCGTGCACCTGTGGTCCTAGCTACTTGGGAGGCTGAGGCAGGAGAATTGCCTGAGAGGTGGAGGTTGCAGTAAGCTGAGACTGTACCACTGCACTCCAGCCTGAGAAACAGAGTAAAACCCTGTCTCAAAAAAAAAAAAATCTCAAGGCCAGGCACAGTGGCTCACGGCTATAATCCCAGAACTTTGGGAGGCAGAGGCGGACAGATCATTTGAGGTCAGGAGTTCGATATCAGCCTGACCAACATGAGGAAACCCCGTCTCTATTAAAACTACAAAAATTAGCCAGGTGTGGTGGCAGATGCCTGTAATCCCAGCTACTCAGGAGGCTGAGGCAGGAGAATTGCTTAGACCTGGGAGGCAGAGGTTGCAGTAAGCGGAGATCGAGCCACTGCACTCCAGCCTGGATGACAGAGCAAGACACCATTTCAAAAAAAACAAGAAAGAAAAAAGAAATGGTTAAGTAAGTTGTGCAAGATCTTACAGCTACTAAATCTTCAAACCTAGACTGGCTGCCTCCAGAGTAGCACTGTGAACACTTAAGTTACACAGCATCTGAGAAAGTTCTTTCGTGATTACAATCTAAGTATCTTGTGTGTGTGTGTGTGTGTGTGTGTGTGTGTGTGTGTGTGTGTGTGACATAATCTCGCTCTGTCGCCCAGTATGGAGTACAGTGGCCTGTTATCTTGGCTCACTGCAATCTCCGCCTCCTGGGTTCAAGCAATTCTCTGCCTCAGCCTCCCGAGTAGCTGGCATTACAGGCACCCACCATCATGCCCGGCTAATTTTTGTATTTTTTGTAGAGACAGGATTTCACCACGTAGGCCAGGCTGGTCTTACCTCCTGACCTCAGGTGATCCACCCCCCTCCACCTCTCAAAGTGCTGGGATTACAGGCGTGAGCCACCAAACGCAGCCGGATGGCTCTTATTTCTTTGATAGTACTCTATTCATTTCTTATCCTTTTTTTCTCTTAAATAGATGATTATTATTAACAAGCAAGTACTCTATTCATTTCTGCCTGAGCGTATGGCACACTTAATTATTAACTGATTTGTTTAATGTCTATCTCATTCTCTAGACTCTTTCTCTTTGAGAGCAGGAAGCTTTTTTTTTGAGTGGGGGGGGGGGGACAGAATCTCACTCTGTCGCCCAGGCAGGAATGCAATGGCAGGATCTCGGTTTATTGCAACCTCCACCTCCTGGGTTCAAGCAATTCTCCTGCCTCAGCCTCCTGAGTAGCTCGGATTAACAGGCGCGCTCCACCAGACCTGGCTAATTTTTGTATTTTTAGTAGAGACGGGTTTTCACCATGTTGATCAGGCTGGTCTCGAACTCCTGACGTCAAGATCCGCCCGGCTCAGTCTCCCAAAGTGCTGGGATTACAGACGTGAGCTACCGCGCCCGGCCGACGAGAGCAGGAACCATTTTATGCCATTTCACTGCCATACCCAGTAGCTAGTTTACAGTAGATGTTCAATAAATAGTTGTTGATTGCATAAAAGGCGAAGAAAAAAATGTTTCATTCATGGAGTAATGTCGCCATCTCGTGGAACGTTAAAATATTGTCATTTAAATCCCTTAAAACAAGTTTTCACGGAAAGAGTTGGTGGTTCGAGTGCTATTTTTCAGATTGTATTCGAGTAGTCTTGTTTGTTTGTTTGTTTTTTAATTGAACTGGATCTTTTGAGATTTTTAGCGCTCTAGAATTGCACAGCCTCTCCAGGTCAGGTTTGGGGCCTACTAGCTTTGCTTGGTGAAATGAATGGTGCAACTAAGTCATGCATGGTCACTGCTTTACTTTCAGAACTCATTCGCTTATACTTTAAAAAAAAAAAAAAGAGTACACAGATCCCTTACTAAGCTCTTGGCTCATAACGATCCCTGAGATACATTCAGAGCCCCTTCCTCGCCGCGTTTATACAGGTGTCTCGGGTCTGTCGGCCAGCAATCCCCAATTCCTCATCACATATTCCTCACAGTGCATGCTGGCTAAAATGGAAATTGCGTTCAGAAATAGCCCTGCTCTGCCATCATACACTAGGAGAAAGGGGGAAATTATGCTCCATTAGAAACCCTAGGCTCTCTTGAATAACCCTTCGCAATGTGAAATAATTTTTTACAAAATACCAATACGTTAAGAAGTACTTCCCTCATCTACCTACTAGGGGCAGCCCACTTTATGAAGTTAGCATGGCCTTCCTATTAAAACCAGAAATGGATAAAAAGAGAGGGGTAAGTATGGTTATAACTGTAGATTCTGTATTCTTCTTCTTTAATCTACGTCTCATATTAACTAACAACGGAGGCCGGAAACCGGAAGTCTTAGACACCAGCGAGAGCCGCTCCTTCCCCACGACTCTATGGCTTCCCTCTTTACGTCTCATATTCACTACCACCAGAGGCTGGAGGCCGGAAATCTTAGACACCAGCGAGAGCGGCTTCTTCCCCACGATTCTATGGCTTTCGGGTTACTTAAGCCACTGAGAACTCTATGGTTCCGGGGCGGGCCGGGAGGTTTGAGTTTGAAGACAGGCGGGAAGATGATGACAGCACCTGTTGGCAGGCCAGGGATTTCCCGAGTGGGAGGACGCTGGAACTGTGGCTTGCCCTGATACTCCAAGAAGGGTTTGCCATGAATCTTCTGCGTCGGAGTGGGAAACGGCGGCGTTCAGAGTCAGGCTCAGATTCGTCGTCGGGAAGCGGCGGTGACAGCAGTGCCAGCCCCCAGCTCCTCTCCCGGACCGTGCTGAGCCCGCCGCCGGGCCTGGGTGGCAGCCTGAAAGACCGCGACCGTCAGTCAGCCGCAACTGCAGGTGCTCCGGGAACCCGGGAGGCCGCGGGCGACGGAGGCAGCTCCGCCGGGCCGTGGGTCGGGAGGTGTCCTCCCCCCACGGGGCTTGCTTGATTGCATACCCCATTGGGCTTCTATTCCCCTTTTCTGTGACTCGGGCCTGGTGTGGCAGGTCACTTTCTGTTCAGACATACGCGTTTTCAGTGGTCGCCTGGTATTAATGTTCACGTGGCTTCTGGGTCTTTCGACCTTTACAGAAACAACTTCCTATTTCGCCAAATACCATCACCTGTTGGAGGGCTCGCTCCTCATAGTACTCAGTGCTCCTTACAGATCCTTAAGACCGGATTGTTGGGCCTGGAGGATAGCACAGGCTGTTTGGCGTCCAGGGATTCGTAATGAGATTGGTTGGGTGTCTGGTGGATGTCTACCCAATTTTTTTAAATCGTTAGCTGTTCAGTCGTCATGGAACTAAAACTTAAAAATAGAAACTTACCTAACTAAGCTTTGTAATGCTTCCATATTGTTCTCCTCCCCCTCCCCCCTCTCCCGCCCGTAATTCGAAGACTTTATCCACTGCGTATTGCACAGAGGTTTTTGTTTGAGACTTGTAAGGAATTGTTTTTATCATATGCCTTAAATAACAATTTATTACTTTTCTATACATGGTCAGTTTCTCATAAGATTCTTGAAGTCAGGATGTGCTCTAAATAGCTTCATTTCAACACAGGAATTCCGACACGGTGAAAGGCTAACTGTAAACTCATACATTAGAAGTAAATTTTAGTTTTTTCTTTTTTCTAAAAGGAGAATGCAAGCCTACCGCTCCCGACTGCCAAATAGACAAGCTACTATTGGCAAATTGGGGACTCCCTAAAGCAGTTCTGGAAAAATACCACAGTTTTGGTGTAAAAAAGATGTTTGAATGGCAGGCAGAGTGCCTTTTGCTTGGACAAGTCCTGGAAGGAAAGAATTTAGTCTATTCAGGTATCCAAATTTATGTAAACTAATTACTATTTTTAAGATATGATTCAAAGAGTACTCCATTGAAGTAGTTATGGTTCTTTTAAAAGGTGAATTAGGCAGTGCCTTAAAACTAGAGAAAATCTTAAAATATGTGTGAAAAGTAGAGTTTTATTTATATTTAAATTACAAAAGTTTTGTTATGTGACTATGGAGGGAAAAAGCAAGAAAAATGACAATTTAAAGAGTGGGCAATTCCACTTGCCATCATCATGCTCAAAATACATATATCCCAGTGAGTATGCAATGGGAGATATAAAGCTGCTCTTCCTCCATTTGATCCTGGTTGCTTTTCAGGGTATGAACATTATACATTGTATGCTTGTTAATTGACTTTTTTTTAGAGACAGAGTCTTGCTCCAGGCTGGAGTGCAGTGGCTCTATCTGGGCTCATTGCAACTTCCACCTCCCGGGTTCAAGTGATTCTCCTGCCTCAGCCTCCCAAGCAGCTGGGATTGCAGGCGTGGACCACCAGGCCCGGCTACTTTTGTATTTTTAGTTGAGACAGTGTTTTACCATGTTGGCCAGGCTGGTCTCAAACTCCTGACCTCAAGTGAGTCACCCACCTCAGCCTCCCAAAGTGCTGGGATTATAAGTGTGAGTCACCACGCCCAGTCATAAATTGACCTGTTTGTACAGGGTTGTATATACAAACAATATGTAATATACTTTATAAAATTTATTTAAAACAATTTATGTGGGTTTTCAAGGGCAACTATGACATACGCAATTTTTGACCCATTTTTACTACGCCACTTTAATCTTTTGATAAGATGCAATTCCTTTGTGTCAGTTTTCTCTGTAATTATAAGTCACACAGATTTTTGACTGTAAGGAAGAATTAAAGAATTAACTTACGAGCCGATATAAGTTCAGGCAGTGGAATTAGACTGGTTGGATTTGAAAACTGTCATTTACTGGCTATGCAGCCTCACAGATCACTTAGGAAGAGTGAGAGAGTGTCTACGTGTTGGTGAGTATGTGTACCTTGGTAGTACTTAGGGAGGATTACATTATTTCATATATAAGAGCTCAGAAACTTTTTGGCACAAAGTACTTGTATTGTGAAAGGACATTACCAAAAATAAAATATAAAATACTCATAAATGCTAAGAAGTCGTAGTTAGTGGCAATGGCATAATGGCTTGACCATTTCAATTGCTTGAAACTGAAACTTGAGTATCATTCAGAACTTTGGTCACCAGCTTATCCAATTAATCACTAAGTCCTGTGTCTGTTACCTCTCGCTTCTGACTCCTTTCTGTTTTTAGGTCCATTACCTGGTATAGCTCATTATCATTTTTCTTCTAGATTATGCAGTAGCTTTGAAACTAGTTCCTCCTTTTTCTCCAATATTAGCCTGCTCCTACAGCCAAAGTGGCCTTTTAAAAAAAAAATTTGTTTGATTTTTTTGTAGATATGGGGGTATCATTGTGTTGTCCAGGCTGATCTTGAACTCCTGGGCTCAAGTGATCCTCTCAGTGTTTCGGGATTACAGGCGTGATTCACTGTGCCCAGTCCAAAGTGATCTTTATAAAGTACAAATATGATTTTATCACTCCTTTTCATAAAGCTCATCAGTCTCTGCATTGCTTTCAGGACAAGGTTTAAACTTCTTAAATGGTGGGATAGTAAACCCTTCCTGTGGCACTTTGATTATCTCTTCTCTTACACCCCTGGAGTACTTTATACTCCGTGCTTACTAAATTACTTACTGTGTCATCTGAACATGCCAGTCTTTCTTCTAGGCCTGTGCACCACATGCTGTTTCTTAGACATGGCATTCCTTTCCTCTTACTTTTGTTTTTTTGTTTGTTTGTTTGTTTGTTTTTGAAACAAAGTCTTGCTGTGTCACCCATGCTGGAGTGCAGTGGCATGATCGTAACTCATTGCAGCCTCCACTTCTTAGGTTCAAGTGAGTCTCAGGCCTCAGCCTTCCAAGTAGCTGGAATTACAGGCACATACCACCTCACCCTTCTCAGCCTCCCACATTGCTTGGATTGTAGGCATCAGCCACTGCCCCCAGCCTCCTCTTGTTTTCTTTCTTCCTTTCTTATAAGATTCCTTGCAACTTCTTTTCCTCAACTTTTTTTTTTTTTTTTTTTTTTGGAGACAGAGTCTCGCTCTGTCACCCAGGCTGTGGAGTGTGGTGTCACGATATCACCTCACTGCAAACTTTGCCTCCCGGGTTCAAGCAATTCTCCTGCCTCAGCCTCCTGAGTGGCTGGGACTACAGGTGCCCACCACCATGCCGGGCTTTTTTTTTTTTTAATTTATTTTTGTAATAATGGAGATGGGGTTTTACCATGTTGTCCAGGATGGTCTCAACCGCCCGAAGTGATCCCCTGGCCTTGGCCTCCCAAAGTGCTGGGAATACAGGCACGAGCCACTGCGCCCAGCCCTTTTCCTCAACTTCGATCACAGTTCCTATCATGATAAAGTTGTTCATCTACTTCCTTGAAGCAGGCCTTTTAACCATTTGGTAGTTAAAGGAAAGGATCTTTAGGTATCAACTAGATACTCAGTAGTATTCATCATATATTGTTGATATAAAGAGTTGTATACATTGTTTTTAATGAAACTATTTAGACAGCTGGTTTAAAGTAAAGGGCATTTCAGGGAATAAAGGTTTTAAATGCTGTTGTGGCCTTAGTGATATATTAGCCTTAGATGCTGTAGTACTGCACATTGCTTAAAACATTTATTAATGAAGTATACCAAATATTACTTTTTTCTTATAATCTTGTGTTATAATCATGTTTTAGCTCCTACAAGTGCTGGGAAGACTCTTGTGGCAGAATTACTTATTTTGAAGCGGGTTTTGGAAATGCAGAAGAAAGCTTTGTTTATTCTTCCCTTTGTTTCTGTGGCTAAAGAGAAGAAATATTATCTCCAGGTAATGTCTTTTACTAAGTTTGAAATAGTGAAAGGCTCAATATTGGCAGCCTTGGCTTCATTCATTTGAAATAGAATTATAAAAGCAAATGGAAAACAAAGTTTCTTTATTGCGTCCCATGTAGCTTTAAGAGGTGACTGCAGGCCAGGTATGGTGTCTCATGCCTGTAATCCCAGCACTTTGGGAGGCTGTGGTGGTCAGATCACCTGAGGTCAGGAGTTTGAGACCAGCCTGACTCTCATGGAAAAACACTGTCTCTACTAGAAATACAAAATTAGCCGGGCATGATGGTGCATGCCTGTGATTCCAGCTACTTGGGAGGCTGAGACAGAAAACTTGCTTGAACCTGGGAAGTGGATGTTGCAGAGAGCCCAGATTGTGCCATTGCACTCCATCCTGGGCAACAAGATCGAAACTCTGTCTCAACAAAAAAAAGAGGTGACTGCTAAAAACATTAAAAATTTGGGCCAGGTATGGTGG